CCAGTCTGAACCCACGCCAGACTGAACTCAACCCCAGTCTGAACCCACGCCAGACTGAACTCAACCCCAGTCTGAACCCACGCCAGACTGAACTCAACCCCAGTCTGAACCCACGCCAGACTGAACTCAACCCCAGTCTGAACCCACGCCAGACTGAACTCAACCCCAGTCTGAACCCACGCCAGACTGAACTCAACCCCAGTCTGAACCCACGCCAGACTGAACTCAACTCTGTTTTTGTTTAGTTGCAAAATACTCCACCTCCAACCTTCTGCATCAAAAGGATGTGCACCGGGACCTTACCTTTTCTCAAGCTCCGAGTCCCCCAGCGTCCCGTTCATGAGCTGGTTGGGTGTCCATTTAAGAGTCAACGAATCGGCAGACTGGTGCAGGGACAGATAGCCCGGAATGGCCTCCATGTCATCTTTCTGTGTAAAAAAAAAGATTCCTTTAGGAAGAGGACACCTGGAACAAAGGCAAGAGGCTGGAAGACTGCAGGAGGGCAAGGAACGGGATGGTGGGAGCTACCAGGGCTTCTCAACGCTCATGCCCTTCCTGGAAGGGTTCCCAGGCCCTGACCTGCAGGCTGTGAAGAAGGGAGAGACTGGCGTGGCAGAGTGGAATCGAAACTGAGCTTCAAGCGTGGACGCCCCAGGGGTGGGCTTCATCTCTGCCCTGCAATCACCTGGCCAGCCCATTGCTTACCCTTCCAGAACACCCTTTGCAATACGGGGGAAAGAACCCGGACCGACTGTGCAAAGCTTTGCAAAACAGCCCAAATCCAACGTGCCCAGAACATGCTGATGTGCTATCGTTTCTACGTGTTACTGCAATATCCAAGCGGTGTGATGGTCAAAGCAGAGATGGGGGATATGCTGGCCTGCAACTCCCATTATCCATCTCTGTAGGTTATGCCAGCCGGGGTCAATGGGAATTGCAGTGCACAATATTTGGATGCCTCTCATGGAAGCAGCTCCGTTTGGAGAGGCAAACTGCATACCGAGCTGGGCCACCGGTTCATTTGGCCCCATCTTGGGGAGCAGCTCGCCAAGATTTAGGGCTGCATCAATCCTGCTATAGATCTTTTAACCTGCGGGAGTCTGAGACTGACAGGGGAAGTCTGACTTGAACCCTTGCAGAGGGCCTTCAAAATCACGCCGGAATGAGGCTGAGCACTACATTTGCCCCTTCCAGATACCCCAGGGCTTTTCTTGATAAGCAGGAATTTTGCAGAGACAAGTTTTGGCAGGCGGATGCTCTGGCTCCTTCCCAACGTATGCACAGCCTGAACAAGTTCTCTTCTGGCCACAAGAGTTCACTGTGTGAGGCTTTTGGAATGCGCACGCCAAACTTTTAAGTAGCTGCAAAGAATGTGAAGACTGAGCACCGCAAGGGGGGGGGGGAAGGAAAGAGAAAAGGAGACTAAAATGAGAGTCTCTCTGACCCTGGTTGTCCCTTACATGTCAATGAAACCGGCCTTTCATTCTGCCTTCATTGACTCACATGAATTGGTGAGTCATTGCTGTGATTCTTTCCTCCCCCCCCCCATTTGTGACTTGTGTCCTTAAATGATCTGGCTTATCAGAGTCCAGTTCCTATTCTTAATGTTAACGAGAAGGCCAGGAGTCCCAGATGGTTTGCCACGCTGAGTTTAATACCCGCAGCTCTGAAGGAGTCGTGATAATTATTAATGGGATGAGTTGTACCCACATCTGACTGCCCACTGAAATGTTGCCAGCTCATTACTGCAAGGAGAAGAAAGCTGGCAGGAACAAGCTGGAGGGTGAACTCCTAGACATATTTACTGGGGGGAAGTTCAACAGAACTCAGCGGGGCTTCCTTCTAAATGAACAAGTACAGGATGGCACTCATTATAGTACTCATACGGGAAGATGTCTAGGGAGAAAACAAGATAGCTTTTTCTCTGCGTGTTTGAGAGGGGACTCTGTTGAAATGACGGCTGGTCAGATGTGAACACCTAACAAGCAATCTTTGTCCCTCGATGCTGTGATGGATAACAGGTGCTGGAAGCTGCCACCGAAAGGACAAAGGAACATTTTGGTCTCTCCATTTGCTTCCTGTTCTTCCTCCAAGGAGATCAACATGGCATACACAGCTCCCACCACAATTTATCCTGGGAAACTTTGATGAGGGCTCTCGTCTGGAATTGACTGAGCAGGTCTTCCAAGGACCAGGCATTCTGGATTGCAACCATTGATGGTGCATGACAATGACAGACTGAATTTTATCTATTTATTGACATGCTCAAAATATTGTATCGACTCTTCAAGGCTATGCCCTGACATTTTAATTTTTAATAAATCATTGGCAAGTATAATCATAGCTGGCTATTCTGTTCAGAGGAGCTGAGGAGCTGATTGTTTTATACTGTAGCCAAATGTCAGTTATCCGGATCATTCTACCCCTAAGAGACACCTGAAGCCCTTTCAGAAACAGGTAAGCATTACTTTGGCCACCTAATGAGAAGGAAGGACTCCCTGGAGAAGAGCCTGATGCTGGGAAGGATTGACGGCAAAAGAAGAAGGGGACGGCAGAGGATGAGGTGGCTGGATGGAGTCACTGAAGCAGTTGGCATGAGCTTGAGTGGACTCCGGGGGAAGGTGGATGACAGGAAGGCCTGGAGGAATGTTGTCCATGGGGCTGCAAAGGTTTGGACATGACTTCACAACTAGCAAAAACAAACTAAGATGCAAATGAACAGAGAGAGAGACAGAGACAGACAGAGATTGATTGATTGATTTATCCAGCCAGCCAGCCAGGCTTTATCTAGAGAAAGCAGACAAAATAAGCGAGGCTGGCACAAGTTACTCATGACACAACTATAATTTGTCACAAGATGCAGGGACAAACGGACACTGACTTAAATGGCTTGAAAGGGTCACACAGCGGGAAAGAGGTGATTACGCACATGTCAACCATCATCCTGTTGGCCACTGTGGGAGGCATGCACATACGCACCAACCCCCTTTCCGGAAGCTACTTCAAAAGCTAACAGTCTCCGTTCTCACAGCCAAAGCTGCTCTTATCTAAAGAAGATCTAGGGGAAAGCAGCTTCAGGGCCATTATCTCTGATGTCTTTCCTACCCACCTGAAGGTTATGATACTCTGGAATGCTTAAGAAAATATCCTGGCTTTGGACACAAGGAAAAGTCACTATGCTACCTCTTGAAGCTTAAGGACTTCCTTGACATTCTTCTGGCCGAGCCCATCCAAGACAGAAGACATCTGTGACTTCTTTCCTGTTACTCATTTTCTGCATCCCGATGTGGATTTGAAACATCCCGCTGTACGTGTCTGGGCACAGGCTTCCCTGATCTGAGCACTTACCGGCTGAACCAGGACGTTGTTCTTCCCATAGAGCAAATGTGTCTTTGAGTTCTGGTGCAGTGACTCCACGTAATCTCTGGCCGAAGCTGCGAAGCGGTCTTCCGACATGCTCCCACTTGAGTGCCGTTTCCTTATCTAGTGCACACAAGAGCTCAGCATTACACGTACCCAGTCGTACCTGCAGACAGCCACGCGCCCCTTTCTCAGTCTGTCTAGGGTGCAACTGAGAGCCAGGACGGTGCAGTGGTTAAGAGCGCTGGGCTGGGCTGAGGCAGCCTGGGTTCTCGCTCCCACTCAGCCACGGAGTCCACAGGCTGACGTTGGGCCAGGTGCAGATTCTCAGCCCAACCTACCTCGCAGGGTTGTTGTCTGGCTAAGACTGAGATCAGGAGGAGGAGAATGATGCAAGCTGCTTTGGGTCTGTTGTAAGGAAAACGGGGGTATAAATCTAACCAATGAATGAATGAATCCAGAGCGTATTTAGACAGAAAGATGGGTGTCCCCCGACTCCCAGCATCCCCCAGACAGCAATGCTAGGAGTTGCAGGACCTTCTCCTGTGCACACACAAGATTACATCCCAAACGATGCAGCGCACTAAGCCACCATAGACAAGATGAGATGATCCACCCGCCCAGCCGGGGAACTGGCATCTGATGGCCACATAATTTCTTTCCAAAGTACGAAGGGAGCGACTACCCTGGACCAAAGCATGCGTGTCGGACGCAGAAGTTCCCACATTCGCAGGAAACAGGTTCTGCGATCCTTCAGTGTGACACCCGAAGGATGCTCCAGGTCCAGTTGGTGAACCTTGGGGTTCTAGTACAAAGCTAAGTAGGTGCCACTAGTCTGAAGGCAACCCAGCGCTGCTTCAGGCAGCAACTGGAGAACTCATTAGACTGGAGAGAGGTCTCTCCCTGTTCCTGCCACCTCCTTAGCTATCGCGGCTTCGGAGCAGAAGAAAATAATGAGGCCGCCATGTTCTCCCATGGACGGCACTCTGGGTAATGTCAGTGGGAGAAAGAGAACAGTGTGCACAAAAGCAGGAAAGTGCTGTTTTGGGAAGCGGGGAGGGACAAGCTTTATTCTGTATGAGACTCCTGGAAAAAATGGCTCCTTTGATTTAAAATGTGTTTTTTCTCCAAAGTAAGGATCTGCAGGTGTCAACTTTCAAGAAAGCACTCTTACTGCAATTTCTACTTTTGGACTGGGCCTCCACCATGCTGCCCCATCACACCCTTTTTCCTCTTCTGAGGAAGCCAAGGTGGCTTGCATGGCTCCATTTTATCCTCACAACAACCCTGGGAGGTAGGCTGGGCTAAGAACCCAGTGAACTTCTCGGCCAAACGGGGACCAGAACCAGGACCTTTTGGACCTTCTGGTCCAACATTCTAACCACTGCACCATGCTGTATATTATTATTATTTGTATTAAGCACATATTCTGCATTACTAGCCCCACAGGGCTCTCGATGTATACACAATATGGATGCAATGTATGTGTCATATGCACGTCCTGGTTGAAAAGCTGTATACAAAAGCATTACACAATAGATGTTTTAAAAATCTAAATATCGAGGGCAAGAAGCAACCTACTCCTAGCGCTGGCCGCTTGGACGGGGAGTCGTGCCGCACGTGGGCGCCATGAATCCGGTGCCTTTGGACCAGCTCATTGGCTGAGGGGTCGGTCCAGAAGTGGTCTGCCGTCTTCAGTTTGGTGTACTCAAGGGCACACGGTCCAACTGGAAACAGAAGGAAGCAAAGGGAATTCAGGGAGCCTTTTGGTGGCGGGCCCAAACCACTGAGGTCTCTCTGTCAGGCCACATCCAACTCATTTTGCTCCTCAAGCGGAAGGCGCATCTCTGCCCAGAGAAGCTAAATGGCCCAGCAAGGACCGGCCTGCCACCTGGTTGGCTCCCGAGGGCAGCAGGTTAGTTTAAAGTTTGCAGGGCTGGCTGCACCAAAGATACACACCGTCCTCCAACAGAGGGGAATATCTGAGTGGCAGCTCAAAAGCAAAAGCTGGGGACGGCTGCACTAGGCAGAAAAAGGACAACAGGAAGCAATTTGGGAAGGCTCCATCTTCAGGAGGCCTAAATTTATATTCTTCCAGTTTAGGATCTTGCTGCTGAATGGTTACAAGCAGCATTCTCCAGACATTTTAGAATGCCTTGTATTTATCTCTTCTGTAATCATTAGTATTCAGCTCCTTCTCTGTGCCTAGCATAATGTGTGTGGGGTTTTTTTTTTCAGTCCCTTTGGTGCGACTGCATCACATTTCTGACTCATGTTCATCATTTCTGCAAACGCCTTTGAAAAAGCACATGGTGTGTGTCAAAACACAGTTCTTCTAAAGCACACAGAGCTAACATTTAAAAAGACGCTTACCGAGGAGACATGCCAAAATGGGCCCACAGACCGGATCCGCCAGTAAAGCTTCTTTCTCATAATATTTGCTGAAGATTCCGACCGGAAAAAACAACCAAAATACCTCTCCGTGAAAAGGGAAATGATTGCATAATACATTGTGCAGAGAGAGGACATAAGGGGGTCAAACTCGGAAGTGTCTTCAAGCAAACCGAGAATTCAGCCTCTCGGCACTTCGAAGGACATCGTGTGCCCAGATAAGCATTCTTATTTCTGCCTCTTAACTTGTGGATCGCCCTGAGAGCAAGCAAATTATTTAAGGCACTGCAAGCTGGACAAGAACCATACGAATGCAAGGAGACGCCTGGTAACCAAGCAGGGGGTTTGTCCATCTAAGCCACCCTTGCATTAACGACGCACCCAGGGGGCAAGGGGCGACCAGGAATTTGATGGAAACCGGCAGGCAGGAAATGTGCCGGCCTTCCTCCGCCAGACTCCTCCATGTCTGTCCCGAGTCTCTTTCTCCAACAACAGGAAGTGCGGCCTTTTCCCCACCAACCCACTGGTGACAAGGCAAACCTATAGGCACAGCAGGGCTTAGAAGCACGAAAAGCAGCTTCCCGTACCACTGGCGGGAGGATGGCCTTCAGCTTCCAGGCTCGGCACAAGCGAGCGAGCTGAAATCGCGACCCTCGTGCCACTAGATGGCGCCAGAGCGCCAACGGGCGCAGGTGGCTGCTGAGCATCCTGCCCAGCTGAGAGTGACCTCATGCCCAGCCCGGACGCTTCCAGCTTTCCAAAGCAGCAGCAGGCGGCATATTCAGCGCCGAGCCTCCCTTGGAGGCCTCCTGCCACATAAGGCTCTGCGAGGGGCTGCCCTTGAAGACGGCCCAGATGCTTCGGCGGGTCCAGAATAGAGCCGCCAGGTTGTTAACAGGGACTGGCAGGCACGAACACAACACTGGTCCTTTTCCACCTACACTGGCTTCCAGTTGAAGCCTGGGCCCAGTATAAGGTGCTGGTGATGACCAATAAAGCCCTAAATGGCTGAGGGCCCGGTTACCAGAAGGAGCGTCTCCTTCCATATGTGCCCGCCCGCCCGCCCCTTAGGATCGGGGCAGACGCCCTTCTCTGGGAGCCCTTCCTGAAGGAGCCCCGGCGCGCTCGCCTTACCTGCAGTTGTCCACGACATACTGCACAATTTTGTCCAGCACCCTCTCGATCAGCGCAGTGCGCACCCAGATGTGCCTGACGGCTTGCGCGGTCAAGATGGGGGCTTTGCTTGTGGCCGAGCTTTGCCTCTTCAGGGCTTCCTGCCCTGCTGGCTGGCATTTCCTGCTGGAAAAGGAAGCAAAGCGTGGAGTGAGAGAGTGGCTCGAAGCACACCCAGGGCCAGTGAGGCAGAATGTGCTCACGCAGGGGTCGTTTTAAGGACTTTTAAAAACTTGCTTGAGCACATCGCCTCAGGCTACTGTTTATGATTCATAATGCATAACTTAGCTGAAGTCAGAAAAATAATATGGGACGGGGAGGCATGATTTTTGGTCTCCTGCCACGGAGGAGGAAGAGCGTTGGAGGAAAGTGACCAAAAATACAGAGAGAGAGAGAGGGAGACAGACAGACAGACAGAGGCTTCAACTAGTGTGTGTCTCACACAAAAGGTAAGGAATTCGGCCTCGCATCTACTCACTCCTGTTTCAGATGTGCTACCTATCCCTTTTCATCTAAGCCTAGCGCTAGACGAGACGGAAATGGAGAAACTAACCAAAACAATTCACAGAGCTGGATCTTCTCAGATCATCGGTACTGTGGATAAACTGCTTTTCTTTCTTAGAGGCGAGACGTCCAGTGCAGCACTGCAGCTTGGGACACTTCCATCCAGGGTTCCAACTCCCCAGCCAGCCAAGCCCACTTCCAAAAGACTCCATTCCACTGCCACCATCTTTTGTTCCCCTACTCCCAACAAACAGCTTTCTTAATCCTCTCTGGGCAATATGAATGGGGTGGGGGAGTAATTCTTTATAAGGTCTTTTGTATTGCTGAAAACCTTTGTATTTTTCCAAGTCAGTTGACACTTTCTGTTGTTGTGGATTAAGCCATTCTGACGACCTGTTCAGAGCATGAGATGGCTTTTAGTAAAACACTGGGATCCACTGTGTGGATGTAAGAGTTTAGAACATAGAAAACGCCCGGCTGGATCAGGCCGAAGGCCGGTGAGGCTGCATCCGGTCCAGCACTCCGTTCACAGAGTGGCAAACCAGCTGCCCACTGGATCCCTCCAGCTGGACGGGTGCGGGACCTTCTCCTGCCCAGCTCCTCAGCCACTGGGGCAGGCAGGCAGGCTGCCTCCAGCAAAGGAGGAAGCCCATGGCCAGCAAGGCTAGTAGCCAAGGGTAGCCTCCCCCCTCATGGATCTGCCCAGTCCCTTTTAAAGCCACCCAGAACGGTAGCCATCACTTCCCATGGCAGCAAATTCCACAGCTTCACTATCCGCCATACGAAAACATAATTCCTTCGATCGGTCCAAAGCCACCCACCAATCAGCTGCATGGGATGTCCCCGGGTTCGAGTGCTAGGAGAGGGGGAGAACAATGCCCCCCTCTCCTCTTCCGCCACATTATGCATTATTTTGAACCCCTCCCTGCTTTCCCTCCTCCTCGCCTTTTTACGAAGCTCAGCAGCCCCGGCTGTTGTAAGCACGTCTCAAAGGGAGCCGCTCCAGCCCCGCGATGGTTTTTGTGGCCCTTCCCTGCATGTATTCTTGCGGGCCTTCCCTTCTCTTCTGTGCCACGGGCTGCACTCGGAGTTTCCCCCCTGCCACAGAACTGGGGTCCCACTTGAGTGCGGCAAATTGCCACAAACACGACACACACACCCACTGGGCTTCCCAGGCCCGCTTCTGCCAGGAGCTGCGCACGGAAATGCGGACCTCCCGGCGCAGCTTTTTGCAAACGGCCCGGACCCGCGGCCCCGGCTGCCTCCCAACCCGCCCTGCTGGCTGCACAGGCCCTCTCGTTTGCTCAGCCCACAGCGGCGGCTGGCTCCTTCCAAGCAGCGCGTTTCGAACATGTGACGCTGGACCCACTGGCAGCTTATCGAGCGCTTTCCGCCTCTGTTTTAATTCCCGTAGCTGAGGAGGCACCGAGGTATGTTGAAGCTTCAAGGGATGAGTCAAGAGCTTTTCAAACACGATGACAAGCAACAGCAGAGGGGCAGCTGGTTGCCAAGTACATAGGCTAACGCTCACAATGCACCGGAACTGGCTAACTTGGAAGGGACTCAAAGGCACAAAGAAGCCCTTTCAAAACCACAATATCCGGAGGACCAGCCAGGGCACTTTCTCTTGTTTAGCGGCCTTCTCTGCAAACAGGCTCATGACAAACAGGGGTTCCGCTTCCCCTTTGCATATGCGCAGACAAGTTTCTAGTCCTTCATGTCGCAGGGGAAAATGTTTCCCCATTAAGAGCCCAACAGGAGGTGTTTGCCGGGTGGGGTTGTACTGGGCAGCCCCTGCAATCTGGCCACCATCCTTGTGGCCCGGCGCTGCACAGATTCCCACCTGGCTATACCCTTCCTGTAATGTGGAGCCCAGAGCTGGACACAGGACTCCAGCTGCGGGCACACCGAAGTCGGATAGAGTGGCAGGAATACCAGGATCACACTAAGTTACTGTGGCTTATTTTCCATGATCACCTTCAGACCCTGATCAGTTCTCTAAACCTGGGTGTCATGGCGCACTGGAGCAGGGAAAGTCCTCCAACAGCCTGTGGGTTGCCGTAGGGTATGGGAGGGGCTGTTTCTCCCTCCAACAAGCCATGCCTCTGGGTTCGGATGACACAGCCAGGGACCCCAAGGCAGTGCTTAGGAGAAGTGCACCATTGTGGCTTATCTTTACAAGAACGGCTCCACACTGTTTCCACCAAGCGGCAGTGGGGAGGAATGCCGAGTCGGGGAGAGTAAAACTCTCCCCACTCCCCTCCAAATCATGGCCCAGATCTCGGCTGCGTCAGAAACACGTCCTGCCCCCAGAAATCCAATCTGGGCGCCCCGTTGCTCCGGCGCTGTTTGCCACAGTTACCGACAAATGAGTGTGAGATGCAAATTGGACCACCGAGACCCAGAAGATCCAGCAGAACCCCAAAGAAAAGACATGCTAGCGATCCACGCTAATGACTTTTTAACGACAATGCTGCTGATAGGTGAACGGCCCTTGGGGGCAGGTGCCCAAAATAGGGACCGTTCCTGGTAAACAAAGACGGCTTGAGCTTAGCACGGTTCAGACATTCTCAAGCGCTGGGCAAAACCAATTTGCAAACAGGTTCTGGGTGGGGGGCAGGGGGGGATCCAAGCAGCAAAATTTGCATGGGGCAGTGAGAAGGCAAACACGACGGGGCAGTGGGGAGGGGAGCCCAGGCTCCGGGGCACGAGGGAAAACGCTGCAGAGCTCAAATGGCATGCAGTCATGCTCTGGAAAGCTGGCATCAATGCGACTCAAAAGGCAGAAGCAAAAGCAAGCTCCCAGACTGGCAGAGCAGGCCCAGGTGTAGGCTCCTTGTCTGAGCCCAGGGACTTCTGCGCTGCTTGCCTGCTTTGCCTCGTTCCCTGAGACGCTACTTTTCTGAGCCCAGGGACTTCTGCGCTGCTTGTCTGCTTTGCCTCGTTCCCTGAGACGCTACTTTTCTGAGCCCAGGGACTTCTGCGCTGCTTGCCTGCTTTGCCTCGTTCCCCGAGGTGCTACTTTTCTGAGCCCAGGGACCTCTGCGCTGCTTGCCTGCTTTGCCTCGTTCCCCGAGGTGCTACTTTTCTGAGCCCAGGGACCTCTGCGCTGCTTGCCTGCTTTGCCTCGTTCCCTGAGATGCTACTTTTCTGACCCCAGGGACTTCTGCATTTTATGCTGCATGGCACCGCATCCCATTCTTTGTGCCCAAGCTGCCATCTGTTAAGCGACGTAAATTAGGCACAGGTTTACCAGCTCAGTGAAAAGGATGCTTAAGGAAGCTGGTGGTTTTCGTTAGTCTCTATTTCCTTCCGCTTCAGAAGAAAGCTTTACAACCCCTTCACGCCTGAGTCTTCCAATACACTGTGGCTATCGTGTGCATAGACGAGAAACCAGACTTCCAGTCCAACAGAAGGCGGGCTGGGGAGCTGAGATGGAAAGCAGAGAGGTGCTTTTCAGAAATGCCTCCCCGCTCGGCAGTTCCATGATGACGGGTAAGCAAAACAGCGTGGAAGGCAGAAAACCAGCGTGCTTGTTTTTGAGTGATCTAGGAAGCACAGCTCTCGCCCCTCGTCGGCTTTTTGGGCTTATTCCACTGCCATGTAACAAACTCCAATTTGGCACCGAGCACCGCGGCATTCTGGATACCCCAGAATTACCTGGGCTGATTGTTTCTGGGGAGAAGATGAAGTCGAGGCTTGTCTTATTTTTAAGCAGCATCCAAGGAACAACATACGGGAAGTGACCCTGCAGCAAAGCAAAGGGTCCCTCATGGGGTGGGAAATAGGTCAGACACTCCCCCCACCACTTTGCATGGGCGCCCTGGAGATGGTGCCTTGGAGAGGGACAGAGACCATCCAAAATAATTCTCTCCTCCCTGGAAATCGCGGACTACGAGGAACGCAAAGAAAGATCTTATTTTGTCTATTTTGACTTAATGTAAGCTAGTGACCTGAACAGAGGTGGAAGCGCTCTTGAATAGCTGAAACTCCTGCCCACAGTCTCATATTTTCTAACAGATGACCTGGAAAGGGAGAAGAGAAAATAGGGATGGGTTCTTTGACTTCTTTAGGATTCAAGGGTGGTGGGAGGGCATGTGCTGAGGTCACTCATTTGGGGTCAAGGGATCTGCTGGGAACAGGAGAACGTCTCCGGATTCCAGGCTGCACAGCCAATTGCTACACAGAGGGTGGGAACTTTGGTGAAGCGTGTTTCACCCCTGAACTGCGGCTGCTGTTGGAGACTAACGTGGCCCTCACCTGTCTTCCACCTGCTGCAGCAACTCCTGGGCTTTTCTACAGATGTCGTTGGCCACATCGTAAGTCTTGCCCACCTTGGTGAAGAGGGCAGCAATCTTGTCAGTCCGCAGGAAGCCGGCTGTCCGTCGCTTGAGCATGTGCAGAAGGCATGCCTCCACCACCCCTGAGGAGGAAAGTAGAGCAGAGGGTAAATAAGCAGTATTTCTTTTCTCCAAGGTTTCCTTAGACAAAGATGGACTGCCCCAGCTTCTCAAACCCTCATAGCTCCAGATATTTTGTATGCCAACTCTGAGCATTTTTCTTGTTGACCAGAGTGGTTCGTGCGGGCAAGGACTGACAGGTATGCAAAGGCATGTTTCCCGGAAGCAAGGAAATTTTTAAAATCTCTGCTTTAGATCAAGGACGGGCTGAAGAAAGATATCCAGATGTTTTGGACTTCAATCTCCAGGAATTTTGGACTTCCACGCATTTGGAGATCTGTTCTCTACCCATGTCTGCTTTAGCTGAGCAGAAAAGCAAGCAGAAAACACCGTAGTCTCAATAGAGCCATCTGAAATAAAAGTGTAAAATTGCCAGATGCTAAAGGTGCTTTATGAATCTTTCTCTCACTGCACCAGAAGATGCCCATGTCTTGAATTCAGTAGCTATCAACTGAACTACTCAGTTCTCTTGGCATTAAACACCCACGGAGTGTTTCATGGATGATCAGCCTCGGTTGATTGGTGATTAATTTTTTTAAAGAAGAAGGCAAGAAAGGATGTGGCAGAGGATGAGCAAATTTCAAAAACCATCTTTTCCGGATTGCCCTAGCCACAAACACTTACATTATGTGCCAATTACTGTAAACAACTCTGGAGTTGCAAACTGGCTTTTTGCAGCTTAGAAAGCAATAGAATGCAAGGAAACAGAAGCTGAAAATCTCTCTCTCTCTCTCTCTCTCTCTCTCTCTCTCTCTCTCTCTCTCTCTCTCTCACACACACACACACACACACACACACACACACACCAACTCCAAACATCCTTAACAAAGCAGTGGAAAATACCAAGCCCTTTTATTCACATGAAGTTGGAAAAGTATATATTTTGGGGGACACAGCCCCTTCTATTGTTGATTTTTGGACAGCCTTGCTGGCTATTAGGCGGATCCACGGCTGGCTACAGAATCGGACTCAAAGAATGCTCATCCATGGCACCTTCTCAGACTGGGGAGAGGTAACTAGCGGGCACTGCAGGGTTCAGTCCTGGGCCCAGCGCTCTTCAACCTTTTAAATTAATGACTTGGATAAGAGCAAGGAACAAGGATTAAATTTGTAGATGACACCAAACTGGGTGGGTTAGCAAACATCCCGGAAGACAGACAGAGGATTCAAGGTGATCTTGATAGGCTGGGCTGAAAACAACAGAATGAAATTCATTCGGGACAAATGCCACATTACTGCACCCAGAAGAAAGAAACCAAATGCTCAGTTACAAGATGGGGAATACTTGGCCTGGTGATCCTGCGAGTGGGACAGATCCTGGAATTGTTATAGATCACGAGCGGAATATGAGTCAACAATGCAACGTGGCTGCAAAAAGGGCAAATGCTCTTGTAGGCTGCATTCATAGAAGGATCACTTCCAAATCTCATCAAGTGCCAGTTCCCCTTTGCTCAGCGCTGGTTAGGCCTCACCTGGAGTCCTGCATCCAGTACCAGAGTTGAAGAAAGATGCAGACAAGCTAGAAAGGGTTCAGAGGAGGGCAACAAGGATGATCCAGGGACTGGAAACAAAGCCCTGTGAGGAGAGAGTGAAGGAACTGGGCATGTTTAGCCTCACAAAGAGAAGACTGAGGGGAGATAAGATAGCCCTCTTCAAAATCTGAAGGGTGGACACAAAGAGGAAGGCCAGGATCTCAATCATCCCAGAGTGCAGGACACGGAATAACAGGTTCAAGTTGCACCAAGACAGATTCCAGGAAGATATCAGGACAAATTTCCTGACTATTAGAGGAAACCCATGAGCAACGGAGGTGGAGGGCTCTCCCACCCTGGAGGCATCTGAGAGGGAGGCTTTACCTGGGAGTCCTACACCAAGCAGGGGGCTGTACCTGAGGGCCCTCTGGCCCCTTCCGACTCTACTGTTCTGTGATTCTGTGACCTGAAATAATGCACAGGCGTGGTACATGAGTTGGCAACATCATATATGAGCTCTGAAACACGCAGGTGCATCCCCCCCATTTGCGCTTCACTGGGATTCTTTAATCTGCTTCCAGAGAATGGCCGCGCTCTGTGCGTGCAAATTCCGTTTTAGGCGCGCACAGTGCCCGGACGCAGCCTTCGTGTCTTCTGGGCTCCAGATTGCAGCCAGCACTTGTGTGGGTGGGAGAGAAAAGCACATGGCTTTTCCACCATCCTGGCTTCCTACTCACAGCCTAGAAGTGCTCTGCTATAAACCTCGGTGAAAAAATGTTAGCAGTTCCAAAAAGAAGGAGAAATACGCAGTTTTCCTGGCGAGCAGGTTGGTTGCAAGAAAGGAGTTGGTGCAAAACTTTATTTTAGCACCAAGGAAAGGTTTTCAGCACGGCACCGAGAGGGGTGTAGTGCTCAGGGTGCTGGACCAGGGACTGGGGAAGCCAGGGATCAAATCCTGCTCAGCCACAAAGCTCAGCCAGAGACGATGGCCACTCACAGTCTCTCTCAAACTAACCTACCTCACAAGGTTGTTGTGATGGTTTTTTTTAAAGGGAAGGAGAACAGTGTATGCCTCTTTAGAGGAAAACAGGAGACCCCCTCCAGAGAAATCAGGGGTTGCACTGATGGGGATAAGCCAGGACTTGCATTGGGAGCCCCCAGATTCTCAGCAAGATCTCCTCTAACACTGCAGAGGTGCAAATAGTCTTAGAAGAGTTACTCCCTCTCCTAACACTTGGCCCACCAGCCTTATTTTCAATTGCAGCCCTCTTCTAACAAAGGAATTTTTAAAAATCAACTGACCCTGTCAGAGGTTGGAAGTTTGGTGCCTTCCAGATATTTGGAATGGCAGCTCCCAGAATGTCTGGTTGTTGAACATGCTGACTGGGAAGGACGGAAGCTGTATTCCAAAACATCTGGCGGGCGCTGGTTTGCCCACCCCTGGCCTCAACTTTGCTCTGCAAAAATAGCACAGTTCCCCCTATTTGCACCTTTCTGCTGAACAGCTGCCATTTTTTGGTGGGGGAAATCTTGCTCGACTAATTCCGTACTGAGCCCCACAAAAAGGCGCAGGAGGCAATAAAGTTTTTACAAATCTTCCAGGGTAAATAGGGGCCCATAGGTGTTGGCCCCCTCTATCCTGGGAGGAGGTTACTCATCCCTAGACCTGCAGCCACCGCACAGGTATCCAGGTGATTACAACTTCTTTTGGCTCCAAACAAGGTGTGCTGGAGGGGAACTTTTGAGTTCCGGGACCAGACAAATGAGCGTCTCGCCAGGTAAGGGGGGGCGCCTTCTGCATTTTACAGGCACGTACTCAACAGGACTGCCTGCGAGACACGGATGCTGCTTCCAGATGCTCAGCAAAGCCTCGGGAAGAGAGACGGCACAAGGAGTGACCGCGTTGCTTAGGAACTGCTTGCGGTTGCTCTGTTGTCATTGTTACTTCTGCCACTAAAATTTTTTAAAGTGGTCCATCAAATATTAATGGAGCAAATAAATGACAGGCGCAGCAGACGAGGGCATTTCGCCGTTAAGCATCTTGGCAGGCATCCAGGGAAACTGGATTGTTGAAGCCCTCTCCGCGGTTTTGTAAAGCTCAAGCTTGTGCGCAGGTAAGTAGCACAGGAACGCTGGCAGCAAGTCCCGAGAGGAAAGCCATGGGGGCGATTCGAAAGTCTGTGTGGAGTCAGCCTGGGAATTCAGCATTCCTATGAGGCTGGGGGCGTACAGGCCTCTGAGGATGTGTGTGTGTGTGTCTCGGCTAGCTACCTGCTTCTTGGAACTCGACTCACGGCCCACACGAATGGACTCTCGGAGTCTCAACAACACCATGAGTGCGAAGGAGCTTGGAATTGGTGCAGAGCACTAGATGGATAAGACTCAGCAACTGCAATCTGGGACCGCATTAACAGGAGCATCACTTCCCGGGCACGCAACGTTCTGGTTCCCCTTTACTCCACAATGGAGAGGTTTAGGGTTGGGGCCCATCTGGAGTCCTGTGTTCAGTTCTGGGCACCAGAGTTGAAGAGAGATGCAGACAAGCTGGAAAGGGGCCAGAGGAGGGACCACGAATAAAACTCTGTGGGGAGAGATTAAGAGAACTGGGCATGTTTAGCCTTGAGAGGGGAAGACGGGGAGATAGGACAGTCTTCTTCAATAAGACCTCTAGCTGTAGCAGAAAAGAAAGCTGTTCTAGGGTTTTTCATGCCCACTGCTCTTGCCAAACCGTCCCATCATCCAGCATTAAAGAGCCTGCTGAATACTAAAAAGAGCGAGCATCTGTGGATGTGATCCGGAAAGCCACAAAAGCAGCCTAGAACCCACATGGCATCCCAGGAAGATAAGAAGCTCATGGAAATGGTGCATCAGCTGAGATGCGGCACACTGGCAGAGACATGCCTTGAAAAGGGGGAAAGCAATTCACTGTAAGAAAACCCCATACTCAGTTGGAAAGCCTTCCCACAGAATCTAGATCTCAGTGACAGAGACAAAATGGACGGATTTAATCCAACTTCTCTTGCTGTAATTTTGCTGACCTCTCCCTTATTGCTCTAGCAAATCATTTAGTCTAGGGCTGCTTGGAGCTGGCTGTCGTCTCCCAGGGAGAAAGACTAACCTTTTGGTGTTCCCTTGAGCCCGACAACCTGAAGCCAGGCCCCCGGAGTTTGACATGCCAAAGGGAGGCTCGGTGTTCCTTGCCGCAAAGTGGGCTCCGTTTCCCAGCTGCCGAACAATCTGCGTCTTGCACAAGCTACTTGGAGAGAAGCGGGGAAAAGGCCGATTTGGCCCTGACCTGCCAAGCTCTCCGCTCGGCCCTCTTTATATGATGCTTCCCTGCACAAATATCCCTTCTAAGGGCTAAAGGTATTTATTTGCTCTGTTTCTATAGCTGAAGCTCCCTGGCCAGTTCACAGTTAAAACCATAAAATATAGTATGATATGATGCAATATAAAAGTCTACAGGTTGAAAGAAAGCCAAATTATAAGCA